AGCAAAGACATGTATATGAGCGTGTATATATATATATATGTACATATATATATATATGTATGTATATATACACACACTGTTATCACACCTAAAAATTTACCTGTAATTCCTTAATATCATCAAATATCTGGTCAGTGACACAGTCTTTTTTGTTTTTTGCTTCTAAATACTCTTGAATCTAAAAAAATAAAAATAAAAATAAAATACTCTTGACTCTATACCCTTTCTACATGTCCACTAATATTACCTCATCAGTTCCTGCCTGGGTTTTCTCTACCTTCTGCCTTAACTGTCCTATCCCTGCCATGCTACATGGTTGCCAAACTGATCTTTCTAAATCAAAACTGATTATGTTATTTCCATATTGGAAATCCCTTCTACAGCAATAGTATAATGAATATAAAACAGTGGTTATTCTTGCAGGGAGGAGTCCAGAGGACTTTTACTTCCTACCTACTGAATTTCTGTATCTTTGTAATATTTTATAAAGAGTAAAATTATTTTTGTTTTCAGAAAAATAAATTAAGATTTATTTTTGTTAGTACCACTGTTGATTTTCTTCAGATGGAAGTCCCAATGCTTTTACAAGGTGTTAAGTCCAAAACTCTGAGGGGTAGATATATAGATATAGATATGGACACACAAACATCCACCTCTCTTATCAAAGCTTAAATATTGTCACATAAGCTCCTTTGTTGGCTATTTTCTTTCTAATATTTATAAACAGGAGCCTTTTCACAATTATGTCACTTTTCTTTATTATGAAAACTTCAACACATAAATGTGGGTCTATATTCCTTTTTTTTTTATTGTTGTAAAAAATATATAACATAAAATTTTCTATTTTTACCATTTTAAGTGGCATTAATTACATTCACAATGTTGTTCAATTATCACCATTATTTATTTCCAAAACTTTTTCATCACCTCAAACAGAAATTTTGTACCCATTAAGTAATAACTCCCCATTCCCCATTTGTCCCAGCCCACGTTGTTGTTGTTAGGTACTGTCGAGTCATCTTTGACTCATAGGAACTCTACGTATATCATAACAAAATGTTCACCAGTCATGTGCCATCCTCACCATCGTTTCTATGTTTGAACCCATTGTTGTAGCCACTGTTTCAACCCATTTCATTGAGGGTCCTCCATTTTTTTTGCTGACCCTCTACTTTACCAAGCATGATGTCCTTCCCTAGGGACTAATCCCTCCTGATAGCACGGCCCAAAGTAGTCAAGATGAAGTTTTGGCCATCCTCGCTGCCAAGGAGCATTCTGGCTGTGTTTCTTCCAAGACAGATTTGTTCATTCTTCTGGCAGTCCATGGTATATTCAATATTCTTCACCAACACCATGATTCAAATGTGTCAATTCTTCATTGATCTTCCCTTTTCATTGTCTAGCTTTTGCATGTACATGAGGCTACTGAAAATACCATGGCTTGGGTCAGGCGCACCTTAGTCCTTAAAGTGACATCTTTGCCTTTTAAAATTTTAAATAGGTCTTTTGCAGTACATTTGCTCAATACAGTACATTGTTTGATTTCTAGCGTGCTGCTTCCATGGGGGTTGATTGTGGATCCAAGTAACATGAAATCCTTGACAACTTCAATCTTTTCTCTGTTTATCATTTTGTTGCTTATTGGTCCAGTTGTGAGGATTTTCGCTTTCTTTGTGTTGAGGTATAATCCATACTGAAGGCTGTAGTCTTCGATCCAGTGCATAATAACTATTAACCTACTTTCTGTCTCCATGCATCTGCCTATTCTAGGTATTTCATGTAAATGTCATCGTACAATATTTGTCCTTTTGTGGGCTGTGGTCTTAGCCCCTGGGCTTGAGTACTTTTCTAGGTGATTTGCTTGGTTCTTCTAAGACTAGTGCCTCTTTGGTTTGAGTCTATATTCTTGATGCTCCATTTGCAGTATATTTTATAATTTATTTTTCACTGTTAAAGTGAGGGAGGAAAGAAGTATTTCTACAATTTGGGTTCACCTTGGCCAGGCAGGTTTATATAACATAGCTTCACATGAGGTGGAAGACTGAAATGTGCAAGTGAAGAAGACATCATTCACTCATATTATAGATAAGAAAAACTGAGGTTCATTGCACTTAAGATTTCACAATAAATAAGGCAGGATCCAAACATAAGGCTAACTTTATGTCTAGTATTATCCTAACTTTATGTCTAGTATTATCCTTCCTCCAGTAGTCTTCCTGGTAACTAACCAACATAGCATGTTCTCTCTTACTTTGTACCTTGTTGCTATCCTCCATCATTCCAAAGGAATGTTTCATTTTTCTAGCCACCAGGAAAGCATCTAGAGACCTGAACTCATGTGGCATCTATTTTGGTGGAGAGCAGTCATGTTGTCTATGGTTTAAAGCACGGGCTTTGCAGTCAGACCTGGTTTCAAAGCCCGGACTGCTGCACTGCTCTGAGCCTCAGTTTCCTTGTTTGTAAAATGGTGTTAACAATACCTGTCTCACATAGTTGTGTGAAAAGAGTTTAGCAAAGTATCTAGTGCACCATAATGTTCAACTGATGTTAGCTATTACATGTGTTCTATGGTCCCTGGGTGGTGCAAATGGTTTGTGCTCAAATACTAACCTAAATGTTGGCAGTCCAAACTCACCCAGCAGTGCTCCAGAAGAAAGGTGTAGTGATCTGTTTCCATAAGAATTACAGCTAAGAAAACCCTATGGAGCAGTTCTACTCTGCAACACATGAGGTTGACATGAGTTGGAATCGACTCGATGGCAATGGATTTGGTTTTATTGTTTTAGGGTCATACAAAAGTCCTTAGCAGAAAATATTATAAATTGACTATGCTAAAAATAAGAATTTCTGTACATCAAAAATCACCATAAAGACAGTAAATAAAAACAAGCCACAAACTGGGAAAGGATATTTGGGTATACATAGGACAAACGTCAGTTTAGTCCAGAATATATAAAGTGCTCCTACAAATCAGTATGAAAAGGGCAAACTATCCAATTGAAAGATGAGCAAAATATATGAACAAGCATTTCACAGTGGAGAAAACATGAATGGAAAATTAGAATTTGAAAAGATGCACAACTATATTAATATTCAGAGAAATATATATTAAGGCTACAATTAACTACTCATTTTCTTAAATAATATGGTTCAACAGGGAATGCCAATATACTGCTAAAGCCCGTTGCCAGTTGAGTCGATTCTGACTCATGGCAACCTACTAGGGAAGTGTACATCAATCTCTCTAGAAAATAATTCGACATGAACTTGTGAAGTTGAATATTTGCACACATTATCATCCAACAGTTCTACTCCTAGGTATATACTCTAGACTCTTGCAACACATAAGTAGAATTGCTAGATTTAGCAAACAAAAATACAGGATGCCCAGCTAAATTTTATTTAAAATAAACAACGAATAATTTTTTTTAGTTCATCTGACATTCAAATTGAACTGCATCCTGTATTTTACCTGGCAATCCTACAAATTAAATGAGGCATGTACAAGAGTATTCATAGTAGCATTGCTTATAACAGCAATATCTGCAACCCACCTAAGTTTCCAGTGAGGAAATGATGGATAAACTGTGGTACAGTCACACAAGGGAATATTAGGCAGCAGTGAAAATGAAGGAACTACAACTGTAATAACATGAATGAATCTTAGAAACAATATTAAGTAAAAAAGCAAGTCAAAGAAGAATACATATTATTAATTGCAATATTATTTTCATAAAACTCAAAAACAACAACTAAATAATACATTGTTTAGAGTACATACACAGGTGATAAAGCTATATAAACAAGAGAAGGAGAAACAAAATTCAAAGTAGTTGTTATGAAGGCAGTGGTAGAGGCAGGGGAGGCAGGGGAACAGGTTAGAGGAGGCGGTCACAGATTGATGTGACAATGCTAGTAATGTTCTGGTTTCTACACAGGCAGAAGGTACACAGGTGTTCATTTTGCTGCTATGCGTCTTATGTTACACAAGTTCTTCTGTATACAGAATATTACGTTAAAAAATTAAAAATAGATCAAGGATCAGAAAATATGAATTGAACCTGCATCTACTGACAGAAAGCTCCATGCTTTCTATTATATTAGGATACCTCTCTTGAAGAATAAAAATAGCTTATCTTGCAATCAGAGAAGTGTTGAAAGCACAAAATAGTACTCCAAAGCTATCTCCTGGGAGCAGTTTAGAGGTAGAGTGTACACAGAAAGCCAATTCAGCCAAATAATAAATAATCAAGCAGATACTTTCTGCCAAATAATGTGCTAGATCGTAGTGTAGGGGTGTGTGTTTGGTCGGCGGATGTTTACAGAGGATAAGAAATACAGCTTCTCTTTTCAAGGGCTTTTGCAGAAGACTGTAGGGACTACAACGAGAGAGCCACACATTAAGCATCATGTTATGTGGTACAGACTACAGGGGCCATTGGCGATCAGGAGAACTGGTCCAGTTCATTTCCTACTACTCCTTTTTTTAAAATTATGCTTAATGAAAGTCTACAACTCAAGTTAATTTCTCATTCAAAAATTTATACACATATTACTTTGTGACAATGGTTGCAATCCTCAAAATGTAGAACGCGCTCTTCTTTAAAGCTCCTTCGTCTTTTTACGTGGGGTGGGTTGGGATTGGGACAATACCTCCGTAGCTCTAAAAGTTGACCTGTTCATCACTCTACAGTAACTTTAAAGGAGAGTTGAGAGTAACGGTACAGCCAATTTACATGAGAGAGCGGAAGATGAAGACCTAAACATCCTTCTCGCTCTTGCGAAACTCTTGAGATGTAAACTCTTTCAGTAAAACTAAAAGAACTGGCTTTATTTTTAAAGGAGTGAAGGTAAAAGCGCAGTTCTAACACAACAGCACGCAAATACGCACGCGCAACAACCACGGCAACCGCCACCACAGGCCAGGCTAAAAGGGGTTGGATCACAGGTCACGAAGCGCGTGTGCGTCACGGCGTAAGGGCGGGGCGTCCGGGCCCGGTTTCCTCGGAGACGGCGCGAGACTGGGCTTCTCTGGAAGGTAGTAGTAAACGCCTGGCCTGCAGGCCTAAGAGGCATGGGAACCCCTCCGGGTCTGCAAACCGACTGCGAAGCGCTGCTCAGCCGCTTCCAGGAGACTGACAGCGTGCGCTTCGAAGACTTCAGCGAGCTCTGGAGGAGCATGAAGTTCGGGACCATCTTCTGGTAGGTGCTTCTAGCTGCTAACCTCCTCTCTCCCCGCCCAGGGTCGTGTGGGAAGTTCTTCCTCTTCTCTCTCCGCCTACCCCCTCCCCCCCGCCCTCGCATCACCGTACGGGTATTGGTCTGAGATGGTCACCTATCTGTTCTCAGCCTCCAGTCTCTCCTGGGCCTTCGGTTTCGCTTTCGCCCGTTGATTCTATTGGGCTTCAGTTACATTCTTCTGCGGCCTCTTCCAGAATATGTGTCTCCTATAGTTGTTCTGAGGGTTAAATGAGCTAATATATGTTAAGTACACTCTAAGTGCTCAATAAATGTTTATGATCATTAATACTAACTTTTAATTTCCTCCCACTAGAATAAGCTCAGGGAGCGTTTGCGGCGCGGTTGTTAAGTGCTTGATTGCTAACTGAAAGGTCGGTGGTTTGAATCCACCAGCCGCTCGGGGGCGGGGAGAAAGATGTGGCAGTCTGCTTCTTCCACCGCAAAGATTTGCAGCCCTGGAAACCCTATGGGGGCAGTTCTCCTCTGTCCGGTAGGGTCACTATGAGTTGGAATCGACTGGACGGCGATGGGTTTTGTTTTTTGGTTAGAATAAGCTCTATGAGGAAGTAACTGGATGGATCTGTTATATTTCTGTTAACATAGTACATAAAATATTGTAAAGGCGAAGTAATTCACTGAATGAATGAGTCCTTATGAGTAAAATTATGTTTTGCTGAATAAAATGTAAAAAAGCAAAAAAAAAAAAACCAAACTCATTGCTGTTGAGTCGATTCCGACTCATAGCGACCCTCTGGGACAAAATGGAACCACCGCACAGGGTTTCCGAGGAGTGGCTGGTGGATTCAAACTGCCAAAACTTATCTTTTTTTTCTTTCTGTTGATGTAATTACCTATGCAGTTTGTACAATACTGAGGATGGAGAATGGAGAGCTACTTATTGTACAGTTAACGAAAGGAGAGGAACTAATTTTTTTAATGGCTACTAAATGTAATGCATTTATAGCTTAACTTATTTAACCCATAGAACAACTCTGAACAACAGGTATAATTATCCTTATTTTATAGGTGAGGAAACTGAGGCTTGAGGTGGTTGAATAATTTCCCTAAGATCACAGTGCTAGTAGGTGGTAGAGTAGATACTGGAACTTTATGATACTTTATGTCTGCTTGTTTGTAAAACCCATGATCTTCCACTATAGCCCTTTTTGGGGAAAATGGCAGTTCTGGAAAATTTTGCTAGGGTTACCCCAATTTTTGGTTAATGAGGAAAATGTCTAATGAGACAAGAAGCAGGGGCCACTTGAGGAGTGGTGAATTTTCTTTAGAAATTGCTTTGGTTACCAATACTAGATATTTTGCATTCTTTTATTATATTTATTATGTGAAGAGCCAAGGCAAATTCCCCTCTTCCTCTTGCAGTCAGATGTAGCAGAGCCCCTGTTTGCTGCCTGTAGGCATTTTTATGCCTTTATTTTTAAATGACAGTATCTACATTTAATTATGTTAGTATAGTATATCAATCACTTGTATTTATTGTATGATACACTTTTAGCCATTTTAGCCAAGACTGTAGTAAAAATGGACATTTTTTATCGACTAATTTCAAGTCATGCATAGAAAACTATCTATAATATGCACTAATTCTGCCTTCATTGTTTTGCCAAAGTTATAAGAAAGATGTTATATTGGCTTTTTTGAAAATAGTTTTGCACACAGCTGAATAATTTTGGGTAGTTTATTAATGATGTTTATGTCTACAGTAAATATATTTCCTATGTTATTTTATTTATTTATTTCTCACTTTATTGATGTTTGGACAAAGCTTCCCTGAGTATAATGCAGTCTGCTCCTCTCCCCAGTTTGAACCCATCTAGAGATATCATGGAAGAAAGGCCTGGTGGTCTGCTTCCATAAAGATTGCAACCTAGAAAACTATATGGCACAGTTCTGTTCTGTAACACATGAGGTCATTCATGAATCAGAATTGACTCAATGGCAACGGAGTTTGGTTAGGTATACCTCTTCTAGCTTTTGCTCATTATTTATTTACTGAGTGAGTCATAATATATTTTCTCTTTGTTTTTTAGTGGTAGAATGAGAAATTTGGAAAAAAACATGTTTACAAAAGAAGCTTTAGCTTTGGGTTGGCGATATTTTTTACCTCCGTACACCTTCCAGATCAGAGTTGGTGCTTTGTATCTTCTGTATGGATTATATAACACGCAGCTGTGCCAACCCAAACAAAAGGTAATACTTGGTGAGTTGTTTTCCCCAGCAGAAATGTGAAACAGGTACAATATTTTTACAACAAACTAATTTAAATAGAAATGCCAATGTTTTAATATTATAATATATTTGTTAAAAAAATTGCATTTGGTACAACTTTTTTACTCTTCCTTATTGCAGATTAGAGTGGCCCTGAAGGATTGGGATGAAGTTTTAAAATTTCAACAAGATTTGATAAATGCACAACATTTTGATGCAGCTTACATTTTTAGGAAGCTACGACTAGACAGAGCATTTCATTTTACTGCAATGCCCAAATTGGTATGTTACCTAAAATAGATTGTTTTTTCATAGGTTTAAACACGGAAGAAAACATTCTTTGATGTTTACAAGGGTGGGGAGGGAAGGTGAGGGTTATTTACTAACTAGATAGTAGATAAGAATTATCTTAGGTGAAGGGAAGAACAGAACACACTACAGGGGAAGTCAGCACAACTGGACTAAACCAAAGCTAAGAAGTTTCCTGAATACAATCAAACACTTTGAGGGACAGAGTAGCAGGGGTAGGGGTCTGGGGACCATGCTTTCAGGGACATCTATGTCAATTGGCATAACAAAACTTACTAAGAAAATGTTCTGCATCCTACTTTGGTGAGTGGTGTCTCGGGTCTTAAAAGCTTGCAAGCGGCCATCTAAGATGCATCAATTGGTCCCAACCACCTGGAGTAAAGGAGAATGAAGAACACCAAAGACACAAGGAGAGTATTAGCCCAAGAGACAGAAAGGGCCACATAAACCAGAGACTTCTTTACCTTGAGACCAGAAGAACTAGACAGTGTCCAGCTACCACCAATGACTGCCCTGACAAGGAACACAACAGAGAGTCCCTGATGGAGCAGGAGAAAGGTGGGGTGCAGAACTCAAATTCTAGTAAGAAGACCAGACTTAATGGTCTAACTGAGACTGGAGGATCCGTGGAAAGCATGGCCCCTGGATTCTCTATCAGCCTAGAATTAAATCAGTTTCCAAGGCCAACTCTTCAGACAGGGATTGGACTGGACTGTGGGACATAAAGTGATACTCGTGAAGAGTGTGCCTCTTAGCTCAAGTAGATACAAGAGACTAAATGGGTAGCTTCTGTCTGGAAGTGAGATGAGAAGGCAGAGAGGGTTAGGAGCTGGTTGAATGGACATGGGAATCGGGTGGAAAGGAGGAGTGTGCTGTCACAGTATGGGGAGAGCAATTAGTGTCACATAACTATGTATAAGTTTTTGTATGGGGAAAAAATAAAATAGATTGTTTTTTCAAAGTAAGCAATTATGCCTTATTGTTCATAAAGTATCCCTATCTCTAAAAAATAGAATATTATATATTCTAATGTTTGTGGAAAGCTTTCTTAAAATAGGAATATTTTATTTCTTGAAATAAGACTTTCTTAAAATATCTCCTGATTGCTTTTTTTTTTTTTTTTTGGAAATGAAAATTCAGCCTTTGCTTTTATATGCAATATGTTCTGGATGCCATGTATTAAGTAGATTGTTATGAGGAAATTGGATTCAGCTCATGCCTTTATTCAGACATCAGAGAGGTAACCAATGAAAGAGGACCAAGGAATTTTGTTGTCAGTTAATGAAAATTTGAAACTTCCACTAATAAGATATGATAATTCTTCAGTCTTGTGACAGTTGAAGCAGTCTGATATATAGTTGCAAGAGCACTGGGCTGGGGGCTAGGAGCCCTACGTTATAGTTCTGGTTCTGCTGCTAGCTGACCACTATGTAACTTCTCTGAATGTCATCTGAATTTGTAAGGATGTGGCATGGCATCTTAAGGGATATTTCAGAAGTCTAATAAACAGTCTTTGAAAAATAGATAATTTAACAATACATGGTTAGAGTTGCTTTTGTTTCATTAAAGTTTACTGATAGACAATTTTTACTGCTGGCTTGGATTTTAGTACTTTAAAACTATCCTTTAAAGGACATCATTTTAAAAGATGTTCATTATCATGTAGCTGTCATATAGAATGAAGAAAAAAATTCAAAGAGCTGAAGTCACAGAAGAATTTAAGGATCCAAATGATCGTGTAATGAAACTTATCACTTCTGATGTATTAGAGGTAAATTTGCTTTTATGCTCTTGAACTTTCTTAAAAAATTGTTTTATTGCCAACTATATATGTAAATATGTATATGTGTGTATATATATATGCGTACATATATATATACACATATATATACATGTACATATGGAGCTCTGGTGGTGCAGTGGTTAAGAGCTTAGCTGCCAGCCAAAAGGTCGGCAGTTTGAATCCACCAGCCGCTCCTTGGAAACCCTATGGGGCAATTCTACTCTGTCCTGTAGAGTCACTGTGAATTGGAATTGACTCAACGGCAACGGGTTTGGGTTTCTTTTTGGTTGTGTGTATATGTATATGATTTCATTTTACTTGGATGCGCAGTCAACACCCATGGAAGCAGCAGTTAAGATTTCAAACAACATATCTACTGCAAAAGACCTCTTTAAAGTGTTCAAAAGTAAAGGTATCACTTTGAGGACTAAGGTGTGCCTGACTCAAGCCACGGTATTTTCATTCGCCTCATATGTATGCAAAAGCTGGACAACGAATAAGGAAGACTGAAGAAGAATTGATGCCTTTGAATTATGGTGTTGGTGAAGAATATTGAGTATACCATGGACTGGCAGAAGAACAAACAAATCTTTCTTGGAAAAAGTACAGGCAGAATGCTTCTTAGAGGCAACGATGGCAAGACTTGGTCTCACGTACTTTGGACATGTTATCAGGAGGGACCAATCCCTGGAGAAGGACATCATGCTTGGTAAAGTAGAGAGTTAGTGAAGGAGAGGAAGACCCTCAAGGAGATGGACTGACAAGTGGCTGCAACGATGGGATAAGCATAGCAAGAATCATGAGGATGGCGTAGGGCCAGGCAGTGTTTTGTTCTGTTGTACATAGGGTTGCTGTGAGTCGGAACTGACTCAGTGGCACCTAACAGCAGCAACATATATTGAGGTTATACCTTTTATCTACTGTATACGCGAACTTTTTCTATCTTTTGACCGATTATAGAATACTACTACTTTCTCTAAAGTATCAGAAATAGTATACCGTAAATATATCAAGAAATCTTGAAGCACAGTAAGAAACAGAAAGATGTAGACGGCTGGACTTGGATTCAGGGTATATGGATTCAAAATATGAAACTACCATCTGATATCTGACTTTAGCTTGGTCAGAAAACAAGAATTTAAAGTGCCTTTACTTTTGAGAAAGGATTCTTAATCTGGTGATTGTGGGTGGCCTTCAGATGGTCGATGTGTCGTCCCCTGAAATTGTATGAAAAATTGAGTGTCATGTGTATGGCACTTTGTTAGGGTGAGGTATCATAACTATCCTCAGATTCTCAAAGGTATTAATGCCCCCCAAAAGGATAAGAATTACTGCATTAGAAGGAAACTAATGCGTATTAAATGCCTGAAGACAGTATAGTGCAGGACCTTTGCATGATTTTTTGTATGGATTATTTTATTCCTCACAACGTTCCTGCAGAGTAGATGTTTTTAACAATTTTTAATTATTTATTATTATTTTTTTAAAGTAGGTGGTTTTGTCCTTGATTTAAAGTTGAGCAAACAGGCACAGAGAAATTCAGTTAGAAAGTGATGGAGCCGAGGTTCATACCCAGTTCTATCTGGCTGCATTGCTTGTTTGTTGGACAAGGGCCTGGTGCCATCTGAACTGGGGCAGGAGTTAGAAATATATCTTTCAGCAGACATCTGAGTGCCCCTGAAGTATAACAAGAACTATGATCTTTTCCCTCTAGGGGCTTACTGAGAAAAGGATGAGAGAGATCATATGTAGAGAAATTAGTGTGATAAAAATATTTTATATAATAGAAGGAATTTGGATTTTCTCTTTTTGGCAGAAGGGAATTGTTTGAAAGTTTTAGAGACTGGAAAGACTTAAAGTACATTTTTAGTCTTAGGGTAAGGAACCAGTTAGAGGGAGAGGTTCTGTAAAAGAGAGGAAGCAATGTTTCCACATGGAGGGGGTGGGTGGGTTTATGATCTAAAGCCCAGTGGAGGGATTAGCCTTGAACAGGAGAAATCATACTTTTTCCTTTGAAACTTGAGGGAAGGATGTGAGAATAGATTCATATAATTCACTGTAAGAAATGAGAAATAAAAGGCAGACAGACCTGGTAGCCTAAGCTTTAAGGGAGGGCCTTGGGGGTTCCAGGAACTGGAATTGTGTGAAAGTTTAGAATAGCCACTATGGAGAATGGAAGAGAGAGTTGGATTTGCCAGGAAGTACCAATGTGAATCATGAAGAGAGAGGCTATTTTAGAATAGCAAGACATTGTTTTTGTCAATATTCTAATGAAAAAAGATGATCTGAACCCAGTCAGTTACAGTTTTGGATGACTAATCTGCTAGTTGTCAAGGATTTCATTTTGCTTGGATCCACAAGCAGCAGCTGTCAAGAAATCAAATGACGCATTGCGTTGGACAAATCTGCTGCAAAAGACCTCTTTAAAGTGTTGAAAAGCAAAGATGTCACCTTGTAGACTAAGATGCACCTGACCTGGGGTTTTCAACTGCTTCATATGCTTGTGAAAGCTGGACGATGGATAAGGAAGACAGAAGAATTGATGTCTTTGAATTATGGTGTTGACGAAGAATATTGAATATACTATGGACTACCAAAAGAACAAACAAATCTTTCTTGGAAGAAGTATAACCAGAATGCTCCTTAGAAGCAAAGATGACTAGACTTCGTCTTACATACTTTGGACATGTTATCCCTGGAGAAAGACATCATGCTTGGTAAAGTAGAGGGTCAGCAAAAAAGAGGAAGACCCTCAACGAGATAGACTGAGAAAGTAGCTTCAAGCATAATGATTGTGAGGATGGCACAGAACCAGACAGTGTTTTGTTCTGTTGTGCATAGGGTCACTATGACTCAGAGACAACTTAATGGCGCCTGACTACCACAACAGTCTGATAGTAGAACATTTGTTTTTTTTTCAACGTATCCTAAACATACTTTTTCACTTTAAGCTCTTTTGCTATAATGTGTTGAATTAAAGGTTCCTCTGTTAAATAAATACTGTATGTCAGCAAATAGATATGGAAGATTTTAGAGAACAGACTTTAGGGTGATTGGAGAGGAGGATCAGAAGGGCCGGGCTCTGAAATGCCTGTTTCTGGAAGCTTCTAAGAATAGAGTCATCTGTGTGAAGTCATCCTGGTATTTTTTTATGACCTTTGGTTGACACAGTTCTGTCTTTAGAGCCTTTTCCCTCAATACTTCTGTCAGCATTTTGTTTGTTTTGACCCAGTTCTTATAGTTTTCTCTAATAAACTCAGCTCCATCCTTAGGAAGTCACTTACTTACAAAAATATGGAGCCCATGATGTTTCATTTTGTGGTATTACAAGTCTGTTTCTTCTTTCCTAGCAGAGGGGAGGACCCACTCTCACTCATAATCCTTAAATTTAGTGCATTTCTATTTCCTTCTACTGCCTGCAAATGCTGTGACGTCTCCGTTTCAGAAGACCTGGATTCTGGTTATGACTCTGCAGCTCATTAGTTGTAGTTTTTTATCTAAAGAGGCATAATGAAGTGAAAAGTGAACAGCGTATTGTATCAAAATAACTGATTTCTAATTCTAGCTCTGCCATTTAAATATGGCCTTGAACATCTGATTTTATTTGAGTCTGTTTTTTCATTTACAAAATTATAATAATGATCATTACATATTGTATACTGATCATGTGCCAGGAACTATGCTAAATGTTTTACACATATTGTCTCACTAATCATCATCATAATCCTACAGAGAGAGGAGGTGATATTATCCCATTTTAAAAACGAGGAAACTGAGGCTCAGAAAAGTAATTGGGTGGTGTCGATGTTTAAGTGCTTGACTACTAGCTGTGAAAGGTTGGCAGTTTGAACCCACCCAGAGACACCTTGGAAGACAGGCCTGACAATCTTCTGAAAGGTCACAATCTTGAAAACTCTATGGAGCAGTTCTACTCTGTAACACGTGGGGTTTCCATGAGTCAGCAACCAACAAGAACAACAAGGTGCAGTAAGGTGCAGACACTGAATTTGAATGTCCACGTCTGTAAGGCTCAGAAGTCCATACGTGCACTTTCTTTTACTTCTTAATTCTCTAATTTTGTATTATGCTTTATGTTATACAAAACACTTTTCACTTGTATAAGCTCACTTAATACTTCTACCATCCCAGAGGGTTAGGTGGTATTATTTCATTTTGTACAAGTGTGGAACGTGATGCTCAAGTTGAGGGATTTGCACCAGGTCACACATCTAGCGTTTGACGGAATTCAGGCTCAAAACCAGGTCCAGTTAGTGGTCTTCCCACTGTATTGCATGTAGTTTGTATTGCCTGTAGAATAAGGATGGAGTGCAGCACATTGTTAACTGTAAAGTGTTAGGGGCTCCCCATGTCTGAACACCTTTCCCTCATTGCAGATCCTGCATATGTGAGCGCTCACCACTACCTAGCAGTGTCTGATTCCGTGCATAGATGTCGATTCCACCAAAATCTACAAGAAATGAATTGAGTCTAATTTGGGGATGACTCAGATGTTGCAGGAGCCATCTGTGATGGAGGTGTCAATACTGCTCTACTGGTCTTAGAGCTAAGACCCTATGCCAGGTTTTTTAAGAGTTCTTAGATCTGCCTGCAATGTGTTATCTTTCTGCTGATTCTATAGACCTGCTTATTTGACTGGAGGTTTCTGGGGAGGAAGGTCTACTTAATAAATGATGCTACAAATGGTGTCATAAATCACCCTCTATTTCTTTTAATCCTGAGTTTTACCACTGAAGTAATGATGAAATTTATGGGGAAGAACACACAGGCTTTGAGATTTGTGAAAGTCAGCACATCTCTGTGAAGGTTTGGGTGAGGGTTGTGACATAGGAATTTCCAGCCCAGTATAAGAACTATGCAAATATTCTTGATGTGACAACCACAACTACTGCCGTTGAGTTGATTTTGACTCGTAGTGACCCTGTAAGACAGAGTAGAACTGCCCCATAGGGTTTCTAAGGCTGTAAATGCTTACAGGAGCAGACTGCCACATCTTTCTCCCATGGAGTGGCTGATGGTTTTGAACCACTGACCTTTTGTTTAGGTGAGTGCTTTGACCATTATGCCACCAGGGCTCCTCTTGATGTGACAGTATGACATACAGATATGATCTTAGTTATCAGTGGTGGTATTTAGTGATATGTTGTACAGTAAATAATTTTTCTTCTATCCTGGAATGCAATTCTGTGTTAACTAATTAGTCTTTCCTCAGCTTCGGTCTTTAACAGCGTATCTTAGTTTGTTGAGTTGAATTCAATTCATCCATACCTCTGGAAAGCAGCCTCTTCATTAATAAAGTTGTAGTACTTTGACTGCATGATTATATTGTTTTCAACATTTAGTGAAACCTGTGAGAGCTGGAACTCAATGGGACTGCCCTTGTTTTTCCGGGTCTTGCAAGTTCTCTGCCTTTGACAGTGTGCAGTCTTACTACTTTTTTATTGCTTGTTTTAGTGGAAAATATTTGAGTTTTCCTTCTCTGACAGGTTTCCACCTTAGATAGGTTTTGACTTTCACAGGTTTTTCTGTAGTGTAACATGTTGTTCCCTATCAACTCAGTTACTTTGGAAGATGATTTTATTTTTTGTTGGTTTGGCCTTTAAGCGTCTCCATAGAAATTGAAATAAAGGACTCTTCTTTTCACCTTTAGGAAATGCTGAATGTTCATGATCATTATCAGAACATGAAACAGATAATTTCAGCTGATAAGTCCAAGCCAAACAAAGCCCTCAGCTTGATAAAGGATGATTTTTTTGACAATATTAAGAACATAGTTTTGGAACATCAGCAGTGGCACAAAGACAGAAAGGTATGTGATTGCTTAATACCTCACCTCTGCATTATACTGGGATGCTTAGGCATGGATAATAATGTTGAGAGGCAGCCTGGTTTAGTGACTGCATTCTTATGGAGCTAAGATTTAGAGGGCTTTACTTTTCTAGTTCTGGCTTTGCCACTTGTTAGCTATGTAATATTATTTAACTTTACAAATGGATTATACATGTATACATGAGTATGTGTATGTGTGTGTGTGTATGTATACAGGAATATATATTTTTTTTCCAGAGGAGTAAGTAATCTTGTTATACCGCTTATTTTTTATAATCTTTATAATTTGGCATTTTCCAGAGGCTGCACACTGGCAGTTTTGGGCCATATCCAGCGCACAGATGTGTTTTGTTTGGCCTTCGCAGCGTTGATCCTAACGTTGTTTTACAATTTGAATTAATTGCAAACATTTGAATATTAGTGAGCTTGATCAAAAATTTCAGATGTCCAACATCTCTTAAAAACAGAAGTTCCCATTGTGACAGAGCATGTTCTTCTCTGTTTACCGTTTGCTGCCTGGCTTGGTTTACCCATTTACATTTTTTGCCTGATCCCTGAGGTGTTTTAGTTTGTGACTCGAATGCAACCAAAAGGCTCAAGATGCAGACATTTCAGATCTCATCAACACAAATCTTTGATTTAATCTTCTGATCCAAAGGTGCTGATGCTAGATTTGCCCATATTCCACAGTAGCCTTTCAGCTGGAGAAACTTTTCTACTTTGGAAACCTAGAGGCCTGCCTTACTAAATTTGCCTTTAAAACTACTACTACATCTTATTTTAGTAAATGCTTCAGGGAAAAAAGAAGAATAAAAAACAAAGCAATTTCTGATTATCTACTATATGTCTGATAATGTGTTAGTGTTTTCACAAATGCTAGATAGGTATTATATGTTGTCTTCCAGAAATATTTGTTGCCACTTTTTGGCTTTCCATTATATGAAGGAAGTTGTCTCAACTTTATTTTAGCAAAGATAAAAGGGCAAGTGATAAGGAGATGGTTTTGGGAAGAAGGAAATAATTTGCTTCCTCTGCTCACATTTATTTTAATGAGAGATAGCAAGTGTCAGGAGCCCTGGTGGTGCAGTGGTTAAGAGCTCGGCTACTGGCCGAAAGGTCAGCAGTTCAGATCCACCAGCTGCTCCTTGGAAACCCTATGGGGCAGTTCTACTCTGTCCTGTAGGGTTGCTATGAGTCAGAATTGACTTGATGGCAACGGATTTGGTTTTGGGTCCTTTAGTAAGTGTCAGAATGTTTAGATACTTCAGGTGCTACAAATTGGGTTACACAAATGACCTAGGCATTTAATGTAAAATTTGTTATAGTATTCTCTTTTAAGAAATAAATACTCTTCATTGAGTTAAGGCAGGTCTTACCTCTGAAAACTTGAAGGCAAGGAGAATAAACCAGTTTTCTTACTGCCACATAAACTTCATGTTACCCTTCATTAGTTAGGAGAATTTAGGTATTTTATTGATGAATTTCAGAACTATTCTGAAACCTGTGATCTTAATGTCAAGTGACGAAATGATCTCTTTAGATTTTTCAGTAATTAAAAGTGATTTTCATTGTTCTGAAATTGATTTGCAATTGTAGTTAATTTGAATTGTGTGTGTGTGTGTGTGTATATATATATAATAATGTATGTATATTTTCTCTTTCAGAATCCATCCTTAAAATCCAAAATTAAAGATGGAGAAGAAAAGAGAGAGAGAGAAGGAGATTCACAAGAATCAGAGGTCAGAAAAATTCACTGTATGATTGCTAACAAGGCATTAGTTAGTTTAACTTCTTTTCATTTTATGAGTGGCTGTGATTCTGAATACTTAGTGTTATGACCCTGGGTTAGTACTATAGTAAATATCTCAGAAAACTCAAAAACTTGGGTTCCATGAAAAGCTGGTATGTTCTTTGTTTGAAACCTCATGAAAGACCATCTCAGGCGTAGGTTGGGAGTGAGGATGTTAACAGTTTTCAGCAGGGAAAGGGAAGGATGGAAGGTGCCTTCAGTTCTTAGAGGGGCAAAGTAAGGCTTTTGTATGTCTTTTTAACTTCTGTCAGCCTTTCAACCAGTGTGGAGGCCAAGCTACTATTTACTGCTTCCTGTCCCCAGAGTTTTCATCCTTCTTAGTGGATGAGACAAAGAACATCTTTGGGCACAGGCAGATGAAGAGAGAATGGCAATCAAAGTCCCTGTCTGTTCACCACGACTTTTCATTCGTATTGTCCTGAATCTGAATGAAAACGGTCAATAACTATGGGGATAGTATCATGGCACCTGCTAGATCTCCTAGAGAATGTAGTGTGTGTTTATGTGTCAGTACTCAGTTCGTATCTAAGAAATGTTAGTTTCTTTTATCCTATGTTCCATCTCAGATCTTATTTTTGTTAACAAATACTTTGGTATTCATACTTTGACCTGATGTTTCTGTGTTTTAACTTTTTTTCCTTCCTGTTTATTTTTATTTCCAGAGATGTGAAAGGGCAGCATCATTAGCAAAAATAAAATCAAAGGCTTTTTCAGTTGTTGCTCAGGTAAGTTATTTCCTTAATAAGGTAATTTAGTAATTGATAGGGTGCTTTTTAAATTTTATATGTATATATATATTTTATTTATTGTGCTTTAGGTGAAAGTTTACAGCTCAAGTTAATTTCTTATACAAAAATTCATACATATATTGTTATGTGGGAAACCCTGGTGGCATAGTGGTTAAGTGCTGTGGCTGCTAACCAGAAGGTCAGCAGTTCGAATCCACCAGCCACTCCTTGGAAACTCTATGGGGCAGTTCTGCTCTGTCCTATAGGGTAGCTATGAGTCAGAATCGCCTTGATGGCAATGGGTTTTTTTTTTTTTTTGGTTCATTGTTATGTGACCCTAGTTGCAATCCCTATAATGTGACAGCACACTCCCCCTTTCCACCCTGGGTTTCCCGTGTCCGTTCAACCAGCTCCTATCCCTTTCTGCCTTCTACCCACCTCCTGACAGGAGCTGCCCACTTAGTCTCGTGTATCTACTTGAACTAAGAAACACACTGTTCACGAGTATTATTTTATGTTTTATAGTCCAGTCTAATCTTTGTCTGAAGAGTTGGCTTTGGGAATGGTTTTAGTTCTGGGTTGACAGAGAGTCCGGGGGCCATGTCTTAGAGGGTTCCTCTACTCTCAGTCAGACCATTAAGTCTGGTCTTTTTATGTGAATTTGAGTTCTGCACCCCACTTTTCTCTTGCTCCGTCGGGGACTCTCTGTTGTGTTCCCTGTCAGGGTGGTTATTGGTGGTAGCTGGGTACCATCTAGTTCTTCTGGTCTCAGGCTGATGGAGTGTCTGGTTTATGTGGCCCTTATGTCTCTTGGGCTAATATTTTCCATGTGTCTTTGGTGTTCTTCATTCTCCTTTGCTCCAGGTGGGTTGGGACCTATTGATGCATCTTAGATGGCTGCTCGCAAGCTTTTAAGCAGAACTTAGTCTTATTGTTTCCCCTTTATAAGTGACTATTTGTTTTTCTTAAGCTGCTTTCTCAACATAATACATGTATATAGTTTAAAAAGTTAAAAATACTTTATAGCTTATTAAAATTCAATAGTTCCCACCCCACCTCTATATTTTTAATCTCCAGAGGCGATCACCTTCACCTTTTTTTCTTTTAGCTATTTCTACTGGTATTTACCTGGAATTTTGACACTGTTGTTCTCTGTTTTCTGCTAGCTTCTAGTATTCCTGGTCCTGGAAGCTTTTAGTGTTTCTGTTTATCCCTGGAGTTTTGAAATTTCATGATAACGTAACTTAGTGTAGGCCTTTTTCCTCATTCATTGTCCTTGGCACTCGTGATGGGCGTCCTTTCAGTCGAATAGCCTTCGGTTCTGAGAAATTTTTTGTATTGTTCCTTTGATAATACTTTTGGTTGCATTTTTTTCTTTTTCTTTTATTTTTCTCTTCTATTTTAATCCCTCTATCCATTTTTCTATTTTTAGGGAGATTTCTTAAACATTATCTTCTGAACCATTATGTTGAATTTTTTTATTTTTGCTGATATTTTTTCATTACTAAGAGTTTTGCTTGATCTCTGAATTTTATTTTTTTTAACTTTGAAAATAATTGTATTCTTTTTCTTTTTTCACTGGCTGCAGTACCTTCCTTTATGTCTGTGGAGATATTATAGTTTTTGAAGTTTCCTCCTATTTCCTCAGAGTGCCTTTCTTCTGTTTATTTTGATGACTGTCTTTCATGTTGGTGGCTTTTTTCAAATGTTTGAAGAGCCTCAGATGTCTGTTCATATTTAAGACTGGTCAGGTGAAACATTTTAAACCTCAGTATTTCTTTTTCTTGGATCTAGTCATTTTTACCAGAGAAGAATTTAGGAACACAGGGAATAAGTCAAGCTGCCAGTGTTTTGGAAGCCTACAAAGAGAACCAGCCCTGAGGCTTACCAATCCTTAGGGAGGTTTCACTTAACCCCTTGATTTTCAGTAAGATGCCTCATCCCCATCCTCAGCTATACCCGTTTCCTCAGGCTTAAAGCTTTCTTGGTTTAGCCTCTGCAGAGAGCAAACCTCTTATTTTCTACCGCAGGAGGTCAGTTACTTAGTTTTGAGGCTGAGGAATGGGACACTATTCCCTGTGTAGATTTTCAGCACATCTGCCCCTGTGTTTCGTCACATTTCTGATGACTCCAATTCCTTATCCACTTGGGTCAGTTTGCTTTATACTAATTTCCTAGTGCAGGCAGTTAAGTTTAAGCTTTCTTCATTTTGTTAAGTCAGCTATCACTCACTTTTCGGCTTCAAATTTTTGTTATCTTGTTTACAGCTGTGTTGTTTCCTGTTATCTTTGTTTTTTGGGCTTGTTGTTGTTAGGTGCCATCAAGTCAGTTCCGACATATAGCAGCCCTATGTACAACAAAACGAAACACTGCCTGGCCCTATGTCATCATCATGATCATTGTTATGCTTGAGCTCATTGTTGTAGCCACTGTCAATCTATCTCATTGAGGGTCTTCCTCTTTTTTGCTGACCCTCTACTTTACCAAGCATGATGTCCTTCTCCAGGGACTGGTCCCTCATGATAACATGCCAAAGTATGTGAGACAAAGTGTCAACATCCTTGCTTCTCAGGAGCACTCTGGTTGTACTTCTTCCAAGACCAATTTGTTCGTTCTTCTGGCAGTCCATGGTATATTCAGTAGTCTTCGCCAACACCATAATTCAATGGCATTGATTCTTCCTCAGCCTTCCTTATTGACTGTCCAGCTTTCACAGGATATGAGGCGATTGAAAACACCATGGCTTGGATAAGGTGCACCTTAGTCCTTAAAGTGATGTCTTTGCTTTTTAACACTTAAAGAGATCTTTCACAGCTAATTTTCCCAGTGCAATGTATCTTTTCATTTCTTGACTGCTGCTTCCATAGGTGTTGATTGTGGATCCAAATAAAATGTTTTTTTTTTTTATTTCTTGTCTGTGGGGCTTCATGAAGAAGCATGGATGAAAATATGTGTGTTTAATCCATGTTTTTTCCTGAATTTTTATCATAAATCTAAGAATGGCTTAATTCTGTGGGAAGTTACTGTTATTTTCTAGTTGTAAAAATGAAAAAATAAAAAAATTAAAAGTGACTGTAGATTAGTTACATGTTATTTATTTGCTACAGCAGAGTAAATGGAGTGGAAATATTATTGTGTGAAAGCACCAAAGACAATAAACTAATATATCTCAAATTCTTTTTAACTAGAGCTCTCTTTTCATATTGTAGAGTGGTATTTGATGTTTAATGTTTATCTGAAAGCATTGTGAAATAATTTTTTAAATCATTGAACAATTAAATTACGTTCTCTATAAATGGTTGTGTGTGTCATTACATGGTAGTGATTTTTTTTTTTCTTTATTGAGGTACAATTAACGTACAATGCACGGTAGTTTTTAAAGAATTACTAATATCTGTACTGCATATATGACATTAGCTGAAAACTGCCTTGTTAGTCAGGACTCTTTGGCTTAAGAAAATAAGTGAATTCATTGATGGATATATCTGAAATGTCCTTAGGTAACTGGCCTTAGGCACAGGTATCATTGGGACTGTCCCTTCCTCTTTTACCTCCTGTGTTGATTCCACTTTCTTCATGTGCTATTTGTGACACCTCCAACCTTGCATGTGCCCAGCTCAATGGAAAGAGGAATTTTTCCTTCCTAATAGTTAAAAACAGATTTCCAAAATTGAGTTACATTAGCTATGATTGAGATCACTTGCCCACCCCTGAACATGGTTAATCACAATGACCATGGACATTTGGCTATACATTTGTGCCACATGGCCATACCTGGAGCCAGGGATAAGTAGTTATACTTGAAGTACATGGTAGTGCCCAAGGAAAATAAAAGGTTATTATTAGAAGAAAGGGAGACTAAGTTATTAGGCAGTGAAATACAGTACTTGTCTTCTACATCTCCATTTCCCAACCATGCCAGATAATGGAACAACTGCATTTTTACCCAATATGAGTAGACAGTAATGACAGCTGCAGGGAACTTCTCATGGTGTAAAGATAAGATAGACTGTGTACATGGGACAAGTGGTTGAATTAAGCAAGCCAGTGTGATGGTAGAGTACTTTATGACAAGTATTTCTCTAAATCTGTCCTCATTTAATTGTGTATTTTATCTTTCTTGAATTACTGCATTGGATTGACACAGTGGCTTCAGCAGCGGGCTCAAGCATAACAACAGTTGTGAGAATGGCGCAGGACTGGGCAGTGTTTCGTTCTGCTATACATAGGGTCGCTGTGAGTCAGACATGACTCGATGGTCCCTAACAAAAACAATTACTGCATACATTTCTATTATTTTACTTATCAATTGGATTCATTTTCTGGTTCTTTGTTGTTAATTGGATTTCTAACTCCTTAGGCATCCAAGTCCAGAAGGCATCGTCAAATCAGACTTGACTCTTCTGACTCTGATTCTGCATCTGGTCAAGGACAGATCAAAGCAACTAAGAGAAAAAGAAACAAAGAAGCATTGAAATCAGCAGGAAAGAAGGTGTCCTCCAGAAACAAAGGTAGCTTTTTAAAGTCTTACTGAGATCCAATCAGGGAGAGTGGGTCTTACTTATAACCTCCCCTCATCTTGTTTTCCCTTTTTTAAATGGTTGGGTACTTGTTTTAGTGAGAACCTCCTGAGACTTAATATTAAAAATAAATTCATTCTCTTAAGATTCTTGGGATCTTATTGTTGAAAGGGGCCCTAGGAGTCATATGAAATTCATCATTTCATAGTTGATGAAATTAAGACCGATGCAGATTAATTAGCTTGTTCATAGTGATATAGATAGTTACAGATTTAGCCTAGAATTATCCAGTGCATACTTTATTAGTCATTTTTGTGTGTGAATCAAACTTATGAGTAGAGTAAGGTGGTAAGTTTTATAAACCATATTTCCTTTTGACTGTACTAATTCAGCTGTATACGCTTTTCTTTTGAAATAGTGTATCTGTAAAATTACCTTTGGCATTTGGATCTTAAACTAATGACTATATATTTTAATAGTTTAATTTTTATAAATTACACTAAAGTATATATTCATCATACATAAAGTTGGAATATGATTAGCAGGCTAAGAGGAAAAAAAAAGACATTAGAAACCTTAGTAAACATTTAATACCTAATACGTAACACACTCCTAACTACTGCAGGAGTATATGAAGATAAATTATAGCCTTTTAATGTGTGTGTGTTTTTCTTTATTGAGGCAGTGGGGGAGAATTGAAGCTAAATACCTTTAATATATTTTAGATATTGATTAAATGCCTCAACAGTTGCTGAAAGTGCACAGAGAATTCAGAGGAGGAGATGTACCACATTTTGTGAAGAGCGATCAATAATTCAAAAGAAGAATTTTCTAATTCTTTTCACAAAGCTAGCATGACATCCTTAAGAGAAGTCATTAGACCAGTTTCACTTAAAAGTATTACTGGAAAAATCCTAAGTTATATGTATCAAAAAGAACCCCAAATACAAAGCACCTTGACTGTATTTATCTAGGATGCTAGAATGGTGCAATTTTTAGGACTCTATTCATATAATTTACTATATAAATAGGTTAAAGGGGAAAATGTGCATTCATTTCAGTAGTTACCAAAAAAGACGTTTGATAAAAATCCAGCACTTCACTAGTCATGTTTTATTACTTAATGTATTTATCCAAAGCATTGTTTCACAAATTGTGAAATTAAGGATAGGAGTTGGGATGTATATTTAATGAAAGATAATGGCAGGTATTGTAGCACATCTGAGATTTCTTAATTTATCTGGGATGTCATGGAGGATTTAATCCATGAGAAAAAACAGTATAATAAAATGCAGTCTGAATTTGGATCTTTGATCATAGACTCAATATTCCAGCTTGTCAGCTTTGTAACTCATTGTTGTTAGGTGCCATTGAGTCATTCAAACTGATAGCGAACCTACATACAACAGAATGAAACACTGCCCGGTCCTTCCCCATCCACACAAGCATTGCTATGTTTGAGCCCGTTGTTGCAGCCACTGTGTCAGTCCATCTCCTTGAGAGTCTTCCTCTTTTTTGCTGACCCTGTACTTCACCAGGCATGACGTCCTTCTCCAGGAACTGAAACTGGTCCCTCCTGATAACGTGTCCAAAGTATGTGAGATGAAGTCTTGCCATCCTCGCTTCTCAGGAGCATTCTGGCTGTACTTCTTCCAAGACAGATTTGTTCATTCGTCTGGCAGTCCTTGGTATATTCAGGATTCTTCACCAACAGTATAATTCAGAGGCATCAAATCTTCCGTCTTATTCCTTGTCCAGCTTTCACATACATATGAGATGATTAAAAATACCATGACTTGGGTCAGGTGCACCTTAGGCCTCAAGGTGACATCTTTGCTTTTTAACACTTTAAAGTGGTCTTTTGCAGCAGTTTTGCCCAGTGCAATACGTCATTAGATTTCTTGACTGCTGTTTCTGTGGCTGTTGATTGTGGATCCAAGTAAAATGAAATCCTTGTAACTTCAGTATATTCTCCAGTTATCGTGATGTTGCTTATTGGTCCACTTGTGAGGATTTTTGTTTTCTTTGTTTTAAGATGTAATCCATACTGAAGCCTGTAGTCTTTGATCTTCATCAGTAAGTGCTTCAAGTCTTCTTCACTTTCAGCAGGCAAGGTTGTATCTTCATATTGCAGGTTGAGGTTGTTAATGAGTCTTCCTCCAATCCTGATGCAGTGTTCTTCGTATAGTCCAGTTTCTCGGATTATTTGCTCAGCATACAGATTGAATAAGCCTGCTGAAGGATACAACCCTGATGCACACCTTTCCTGATATTAAACCACGCAGTATCACACTGTTCTGTTAAAATGACTGCCTCCTAGTCTATGTACAGGTTCCACAGAAGCACAATTAAGTGTTCTGGAATTCCCATTCTTCACAATGTTGTCTGTAATTTGTTATGATCCACACAGCTGAATGTGGATCATGTGGAATATGACTTTGCATAGTCAGTAAAACACAACTAAACGTCTTTCTGGTATTCTCAGCTTTCAGCCAAGATCCATCTGACATCAGCAATGATATCCCTGGTCCCATGTCCTTATCTGAATCTGGCTTGAATTTCTGACAGTTACCTGTCCATGTACTGCTGCAACTGTTTTTGAATCATCTTCAGCAGAATTTTACTTGTGTGTGCTATTAATGATACTGTTTGATAATTTCTGCATTCTGTTGCATCACCGTTCTTTGGAATAGGCACAAATATGGATTTCTTCCAGTCAATTGGCCAGGTAGCTGTCTTCCAAATTTCTTGGCATAGATGAGTGAGCGCTTCCAGCATTGCATCCATTTGTTGAAACATCTCAATTGGTATTCCATCAGTTCCTGGAGCCTTGTTTTTCTCCAGTGCCTTCAGTGCAGCTTAGACTTCTTCCTTCAGTACCATTGGTTCTTGATCATATGCTACCTCCTGAAATGGTTGAATGTCAGCCAATTCTTTTTGGTACAGTGACTCTGTATTCCTTCCACTTTCTTTTGTGCTTCCTACATCATTCAATATTTTGCTCATAGAATCCTTCAGTATTATAACTCGAGGTTTGAATTTTTCTTCAGTTCTTTTCAGCTTGAGAAATGCCAAGCATGTTCTTCCCTTTTGGTTTTCTAACTCCAAGTCTTTGCAGATTTCATTATAATGCTTTACTTTGTCTTCTCTAGCCGCCCCTTGAGATCTTCTGTTCAGCTCTTTTACTTCATCATTTCTTCCATTTGCTTTAGCTACTCTACATTCAAGAGCAAGTTTCAGAGTCTCCTCTGACATCCATTTGAGTCTTTTCTTTTTTTCCTGTCTTTTTAATGACTTCTACTTTGTTCATGTATGATGTTCCTGATGTCATTCCACAACTCGTCTGGTCTTTGGTCATTAGTGTTCATTGAGTCAAATCTGTTTTTGAGATGGTCTCTAAATTCAGGTGGGATACACTCAAGGTCATACTTTGTCTCTCGTGGATTTGTTTTAATTTTCTTCAGCTTCAGCTCGAACTTACATATGAGCTATTGATGGTCTGTTCCGCAGTGGGCCTCTGGCCTTGTTCTAACTGATGATACTGAGCTTTTCCATCATCTCTTTCTACAGATGTAGTCGATTTGATCCCTGTGTATTTCATCTGGCGAGATCCACACGTATAGTCACCATTTATGTTGTTGAAAAAGTATTTGTAATGAATAAGTCGTTGGTCTTGCTAAATTCTATCACACGATGTCTGGCATCGTTTCTGTCACCAAGGCCATGTTTTCCAACTACAGATCCTTTTTCTTTGTTTCTAACTTTTGCATTCCAATTACCAATAATTATTAATGCATCTTGATTGCAAGTTTGGTCAATTTCAGACTGCAGATGTTGGTAAAAGTCTTCAATTTCTTCATCTTTGACATTAGTGGTCAGTGTGTAAATTTTAATAATAGTTGTATTAACTGGTCTTCCTTATAGACGTATGGGTAATCCTGTCACTGACAGTGTTGTACTTCAGGATCGATCTTGAAATGTTCTTTTTGTTGATGAATGCGACAACTTTCCTCTTCAGTTTGTTATTCCTAGCATAGTAGACCATAGTTGTCTGTTTCAAAATGGCCAGCACCAGTCCATTTCAGCTCACTAATGCCTAGAATATCGATCTTTATGTGTTCCACTTCATTTTTCATGACTTCCAATTTTCGTAGATTCATACTTTGTACATTTCATGTTCAGATTATTAAAGGATGTTTGCAGCTATTTCTTCTCATTTTGAGTCATGCCACATCAGCAAATGAAGGTCCTGAAAGCTTACTCCCTCCACATCATTTAGGTTGACTCTACTTTGAGGAGGCAGCTCTTCCCCAGTTGTGTTTTGAGTGCCTTCCAATATAGGAGCTCATCTTTTGGCACTATATCAATGTTCCACTGGTTTTTTGTAAGATTTTCACTGGCCAAATTTTTTAGAAGTAGATCACCAGGTCCTTCTGTGTAGTCTGCCTTAGTCTGGAAGCTCCACTGAAACCTGTCCATCATGGATGACCCTGCTGATATTTGAAATACTGGTGGCATAGCTTCCAGCATCACAGCAACATGCAAGCCACCACAGTATGACAAACTGATAGATGTGTGGTGGTTGTAGCTCTTAAGATTTTGTAAATACTCTGAAACAGAGGTAATTTGTTATTCTCTACCTAAATAAAGATCCAAAACCAAAATCAACCTTGTTGCTCTTGAGTTGATTCTGACTCATAGCAACCCTATAGGACAGAGTAGAACTGCCCCCGTAGGGTTTCGAAGGAGCAGCTGGTGGATTCAAACTGGCAATCGTTTGGTTAGCAGCCGAGCTCTTACCCACTGCACCTCTGAATAAAGATCCAAGTCTCTTTAATTAAAAGTTCATTTCCTTAAAGTGGGAAGGTATTTTTGATGCCACAGTCTTTTGAAAAAGATGAGCTTTATATTCCATAAAAGGCAAAAGACCTTGGAAAACCACTTGCAGCACATACGATAATGTTAAAATGTTAAATTTTAGAAGCGCTTTT